GATCCCATGTCATGCCGTTCTGGAAGTTCGTGTTGAATGCCAGCTGGGCGGTCTCTCAAGGGGGCCCATGCTCTCGGTACAACAGGAGGAAATCGGTACGAACTGTAATTAAAATGCACAGTTATTAAGAATAATGTTATAAATGTTTATTTTTATTTTAATAAGATGTATTTACTAACTTCTTCTTTTAGTGGAACGTCAAATATATCCCTGAATTCAAATTCTGCCTCTGCGTCAGCAGGAAGTAAATCAACATACTCAATGTCATCTTGTACCACTTCCTCTTGTAGCATTTCTTCTTCATCTAGGTCCATCATTATCTGTTCCACTTGGACTTCAACAACTTCTATCTCCAACCCGTTGTTACCAGGGATTGCTACGTCCGCTTCCAGTTCACCGTCTGATGCCACAATCTCAAGGACTGATTGAACTACCTATAGTATTAAAGAAAGTCTGTTGAGATATGTAATAAAAATTCCAAATATTATTAGCTTAAACAGTCAACATATGTTTTGTATGTGTTATTATAATGATTAACTACATATCAATGACATGTAACTTACTAAGTATCTAAGATTCAGCTCACCGATAGGGAATGTAATAAGCACAACACATTAAATAAATTAAAAACAGTGTATAGAGAGCATGTTACAATCATTTAGTTAGTAACATTTAAGCTGTATATCATAGTGAGTTACACAAAAGACTGAAAAAAGTTCATTAGTACCATTTGTTGAATAATTAAAACTGAAATAAAATATATATGTAACATGAATAAAATAAATTATAGCCTATGGAATGTATCCCTTCTGATAATAAAGAAAACAATACATTTAAGATACACATAATGGTGGTGTTGAAATGAATGTGTTAAAAGAACAAAAGTATTAATGTGAATAGTTCAATTAATTTGTTAGAAAAAATACTTTTGGTGTATTTGAATAGTAATATGAAACGAACAATTGGTATTTTCATTTAAAATAATATACTTAGTATTGTTTCTAATAAGCATGAAGCTATACGTTAATATATGATATCACTATATGACATTATGTAATATTGTTACTTGTTACTACAATTAGTGCCAAGTTATTTGAGAAACGCCATTGTGGAAATTGTAGTGATCACGTCGCCTACAGGTATCAGTAGTCAAGGATGATGTTTGGAAGGTGACTCTTGAGTTAATTACACAACGTAGAATTCTTC